CCCCAAAACCCCAAAACCCCAAAACCCCAAAACCCCTTCTTTTTACCATAATATTGAACTCTTGTATTTCTTCACATTTTGGAATTAGAAAACAAGAAGATACCACTTGTTGGTATGATCATAGAACCCAACTATTGTATTACACATCTTCCTTACCTTTGTTCCCACAGCTGGTACATTTTAATTCGAATAAGGCTTCTTGTGGCTCATCAAGTGAATAGTTTTCTCCATGCTTGTTCAGGTTTAACATCTTGTTTTGGTTAACTTCACAATTTACAACCTAAAGTATACAGATATCCCTACTCTTTCTGCTCGATACTGGTTTTTATAATTCTCATGTGGTTGTGATTCTAGGCATATTAATTCAAAACAACTCAGACAGTTCAGTGGTTCCTATAAATATGCTTTAAATTTTACATTCTGTAAATTTTCAAGTTTTGCTGTAAAGAGTTATACTATAAAATTACTTTCATTCTTTTTCTTTCCATTCTATAGTGATTACAAGCCAAGAGGTACCTGAGTATAGCTGGGAAACCTTTCCTTGAGCCACCTCTCGTTCTCTTCATCCTCACAAGGGTTAAACATTTTGGATTGCTTTTTGATTTTGTCTTGATGTTCTTTTAAATTCTTGACTGTAAGGGAATTAAAATACAAAGACTTTACCTCCAATTATTTGGGAGTATTCTGGCTTCCAGTCATCATCTTTGTCCCTAAATGTCTTACTAAATGCTAACTTTTCGTCCTCTTCTGAGTCTTGGTTTTCATCAACCTCAATTGCATTCTTTTCATCCTTCTTTCTAAAGAACATTGTTAATTTTGTATTGAGCAGGGTTAAATTTAGAAGACATTTAGAGATTCAAACTCATTGGAATATTATGAATGAGAGTTAAAGTTAATAAGAATTATGGCAAAGAAATACTCAAGGTTTATCCTGCTGATTCTGGGTAAAGCATTCATCCTCTTAGATTTAAATATATGTATATCTCAGCCATTAAGAAAGAATACTCAACAGATTAGGAGATGACTTACTGCTTGAGATTTTCCTTGCGCTTATGTTCTTTAAAACTGATTTTAACTAGCAGGTTAATATCAGTATTTTACCTATCTTTTTATTTAAGTTCTTCTGATGTTCTTTTCCTTCTTCTAGAACTCTTAAACTACTCTCTTTCATTCTAAATTATAGTACAAGATTGAGGTACTTTTGAGGCTGCTCCCGATGGGGTACCCAATCATCGTCACTACTCGAGTCAACTTCCATTTTGGTTCAATTAATTAGAAGGAAAAAGGGGTTTTGGGGTTTTGGGGTTTTGGGGTTTTGGGG